TCTTTACGTCAGTATGGGAAATATAAATCAGATATTAATTTACTTAAACAAACATATGATTTGGGTAAAGAGCATCAATTGAATTATAAAATATACCATCCATGCAATTCATCTGTTATTCAAAAGAGCCTCTCTCTATTGATATAATTAAAAGCATTTTTAAGACTTAAAAAAAAAAAAGAACGTGGTAAATAGATTATGTGCAAACCCCCAGAACAGTGTTCAGGTTTGACACATGATACAACCCTCATTATTATAAACATCTGTAGAGTGTGATTAATTAACATTATGGTTCAAAAAACTGTGCAGAGTATTTGTCTGATTGGTTTCAACCTCATTACTAAAGAAGGCTCTGTAATTTATAACTTCAGTCACTTTATAAGTTGTGTGACACTGAATAGTTTGATATTGTCCCCTTCTGTCCCGGTCCTTACATTCATTAATTCCCAGTCAAGTGTTGCAGCACTTTCAAGTATGTTAGGCAACAAATGAAAACCCAGTGACATATAGTGATTAATGCAGTGATCCTTGCTACAATCCCTGTCTACTTGTTACCTTTCAGTTCACTTATTACACATTATATAACTCTTAGGTGTGATTTTACATTGTCCCTTTTCTCATTTGATCCATGCTTAGTCACAACAATAACTGTAGCGTATCTCTGTCAACATAAGGTGACTCTCGTATTATTTCATGCAAGGCATCAAAACAAAGGCATGATCAAATTTGTTTGAGTCGATTGGATAATTTTATGTTAGATTTTGTATTTGGCATTGACATAGTACTGTGTACATGAATGTATATACTGTGATTTAATTTATTTTTACTTGGAATTTATTTTAATTTATTTTTATTTTATTTAATGAAGGGATGAATCAGTGGAAATATATTTTACATCCACGTCACCAATGATGAGTGAAAATAAACTTCATACAATACTACCAAAATGTGTTTCCAGCGAAAATTATTTCCAACTAAAATATTCTACATCATCCCTAAAACATTATTGTATAGCTAGACCATAAGCTACAGTGATTCTATGGTACATTGTAAGATGTGTAACCCTTCCTTCTTATTTGCAGATCCAGTCAGGATATGGAAAATACATTTTTAACTCAGGGCCCAAGGCCCAAATGGTTAGCACCAAGAGGTGGGGGTGTTGCACCGGATTCAATGACCATCACATCAGTCAATCAAACATACCAAATGGTGGTAAGTTTATATTGTTAATTACAAAATTGTCAAATTTAAAACTAAATTCTAATTTTGTTGGTGCTCAATTTGATTAAATTAAGTTCTTTTTTCATTAATTCACTCATGTTTCAGTGCATAAAGCTCTGTTCTTAATGGCACAAATGTTAGCCATCTATTGATAATTTACAAAGTATTTACCGGTAGTGTCTAATACAATATCCCACTTCACTAATGCCTAGGTACTATATGCGGCTCTTTATTGACCTTATATTTGATTGGTTGTTTGAAAATGGCTTTAATGTGATACAGGTATGAGGTTATTACGAGGATATTTCGATTTAAAAATATCTGCCATCTTGGAAATGAGGTGTAATTGTTCCATATTTGGACATCACATGTTTTCAAAGGGTCATATATTTTTATTTCAGAATTGTGAACATTATACAGTAACCCAATCCCTCTTGCTGGATTTTGAGAGTACAACTCATCGGAAAAAATAAAATAAAAATAATAATATTATTTTGGGGCGTTGCTGGAAACAACAAATTTGTTTTTATTTAGCCTGATTGATGTATTGGGAGTGGCATGCATTAATGCTTGGTTATTAGTTACCTACTTATGAGACTGAACCAAAAGTAGTCTATATAGTGGTCTATATTTAGACTGAAGTACTGTGGAATACTTTATTTTCGCTGGAATTAATTTTCGCTGAAAAGGCTTTTCGGGCATTTTGTATGGAATTTATTTTCACTGATTTTTGATGAGTTTAATGTAAAATATAGGAAAAAAAGTATATTCACTGAATTTTATTTTCACGGAATCATCCCTTCAGCGAAAATAGCGAAAATAAATTCCAAGCGAAAATAAAGTATTCTACAGTATGTTCTTATAGCATTTGCAAAGCAGCAGTGATTGTATATGTGTATTTTACAGAGAGTCTGTAAAATTCAGGTTAAAAACCAAAATGTGGTCTCCTTGTACATTGTCTTTTCCACACATGATATTAGATCAAAGTCTTAAACACTTAATATTGAATATTAATTTGTCTTCACAATGGTTGATATATTTAATACTAAAGGGAAGTGTGTGGCAGTTTTGGTTTATTACTAAATTTTGTATCTGCGATCTTAATCTAGACCGCTCTCTGTCCCATTTACATGGAATCAATATATGAAATCAATATATCTATTTCCTTTTAATTATTACTATATGTTGAGTCACCATGGTTGAGCAAATCAGTTACTTGTGCGCTATGTTACTGGTCTTTTCATACTGTTGTATAACAAGAGGTCTGCTAGAATAGCAATGAATGCAGTGCACAAAAATGCAATGTTGTTGTTGTGTCTCGGTAATTAGTATGGTTCATTTCCTAGGTGAGTGGTTGCCATGGATACAACAACATGTAGTTATGTGTTGAGCTGCCAATGATGCGTCTGATTCACTCTGATCACCCATTATATACATGTATGTCAATAGGCAATGACTGACTCTTGTGTTACAAATTACCATTTTGAGAAGGAGCGGGAAGTCACTGACACTGTACACTGAATTGAAAAAAAAAATTATTTAATTTTAATTTATTTTAAAAAATTAAATGAATTGCCCTGTTTACATGCAAATTGTCCGGAACTGTAGTCTACAGAATGTGGTTATATCATTGCAGAATTCCAGTGTAACAGTCAGTGTAAAAAAACACCATCCGGTTCTCCACGAGGGGTTTTTACAGGGCGCTGCGCCCTGTTATCTGAAATTGGCGCCC